AACTCCTTCCACACTTGGCGAAGAAACGTTAACTTTATGGGGTCCCCTTCGAGCCCCCTTCGGGGTCCGAACGCCATTTGGGGTGGTTTTTCGAGACGACGCGGAAAGAACCTCGGAAGCGGATTTTTTTTTTTTTTCCTCCAATTTAGGCGTTTCCATTACCCCGATGAAAATCCTGGGAAATTCACGTACACTTTTCCAACACCCCATGACCGATGTTTCGCATTGAAAAATGGAAATGATTACGCGTTTGACAATTTTTATACACACGTATAAAAATAATTACCGTATCGGTGAATTTTTTTTTTATTCCATGGAATGTAATAAAGATGGGGTAATTTCATCGGAATTTATGGGGGCGTCGAAATCATCAATTATTGAGGGTGTAAATTTACCAGGGGATTTATTTCCGCCGTTTAATTAGAGGGGCAGAGGATTTTTGTTATCTCTTTTCTCTTATTTTCTTTCGTCACGAAGGGGAATCTGCCATTTCCATTTTTTACCCTGGAGGATTAACGACACGTGGCAGGGAAACTTTTAGAGAAGTATTGGATCGGTGCCACCCGACTCTCGAAATTCCGCATGCGGCTCGATCTGCAGTCCAATCGGCCTGATTTAATATTTCAGGGGGGGGAAGGGAGAGAGAGGTTTCATCTCGATACAGGAACGCGAAGGTGGGTTACACCTGCAAGATAAATGACGCTTTTCCGGGATCCTCGGTAATTCCAGAAACACACCACCGACAGTAAAGAGGAATTGTTGGAAGAATCTTGACAAAGGCCTCGCAGTAAACCCCAAGAGGGTCGTTTAACGTTTCTTAAGGTTTACGTCCCGGAAAATGATCCGCTCCTATGGTCCGAAGGAACTTTCCCCCGAAAATTCGGGAGCGCCGATGAACTTAACAATTTTCACCCTTACAATCCCCTGAAAAAATGCCCATTCCCCTTTGGACCTCCCCCAAGTTATGTGCAAAAATTCTGCGCACTCAGTGATTAATTTTTTCATCCCTCATAATTCTGAGGGAGGGTCTGAATTTTCCGAATTTTCCGAATCCACCCTCGGGGGAGCTCGCGGAAAAATTCGGGCCCCTGTTTCCCGGTTTCCTTTCCGACGTAAGACATGCTAAGGGAGGTCCATGGGGGTTTCCTCGAGGGGGTCGTTATTACGGTTACCCGGGAGCGGTCGGGAAAACTCCAGAGATCGATTTTCCTTACCTCGGGAAAATCTTGCCAGTTCTCGCGAGTCGTCGGACGATCCCCGGTCTCGTCTCTAGATGAGCACCCTCGAATCTCTCCACGGGGGTGGACTCTCCTCCACCCCCGGGCAAACCGACGGCACGGAATCCCACTTGCGGAAATGCAGCCCGCGCGGAATCCACTTACCCCACTCGATGACTCGATCTCTGACATCCGATCGAGTCGTTTCAATATTTGAACGGCGACGATCGCTCGCAAAAGGCGATGTTACTTCCCGCCATCGGAGGACGCGGTATCCATGGCGACGGACTCGCTTCCGGGGTGGGTTTTACTTAGCGTTTACCCCGGCCCTCCCCTGAGTATGCCAGATCTCGGGACATCTCCACGTTAAGGGCGAAACTATCGATGGGTTAATTGGAAATCTTGATCGATTTCATTTTTACGCTCGATTTAACGACCATTAAAGTCCTCCTAGGGGAATCAAAATTTAGGAGTACTCCCCCCAACTGCAATGACGCCCTCGTTACCGCAATTCGAGGGAAGGAGCTTTCTAGGTCGTTAAATGAAATCCCCGTAAAAATCCCGACAATGGCGGCCCCCGTAAACCTCCGGAAGTGGGCCATCGGTCGATCTGTTTCTTTGGGCTTTAACCCCCTTTCTTTCCTCCCCAATTCCGCGATCTTGATCCGCGACGTCTCTCCCGATGTATCGATCACTTAATTCGATGAATAATCAATGGACTCGAGTGAACCTTAATAAATCGTCGCGATTCCGCGGAAACTTTGCAGTCCGATCATGGTTTTGTAATTCCTCTGGTTCTATAAAATCCTTTTTATTTTTTAATAAGGGTTGATCGATCGATCGGTCCAAGTTTAGCAAATAAATCGTAGCGATTCCGCGGAAACGTTGCAGTCCGATCCTGGTTGTGTAATTCCTCCAATTCTATAAAATCCTTTTTTTTTTCCCTTGAGATCATCTTTCTCCGGTCGCAGCTAGGGATCGATAAGGGTTGATCGATCGATCGGTCCAAGTTTAGCGGCGGAGAGATTTCCGAGAGTCGCAGGGGGTGAAGGCTTATTGGGGGATGATTAAATACCGCGATAACTCAGCCTTCGACCATGGGGTGATATTTTAAGATCGTACCCTTGCCCTCCCCCTGCAGTTTCCCTCTCTCTCCCTCCACCCCCAAGTCGGGATACCCAGTCTCCCCTTTTACTCGAGCCAAATCTCCGAGGAGTCGGAACTGCCGGGGCTATTCCACGCACGTATCATCGCTCTCGTCTACCGACCTCCTGCCGACCTCTTGCCGACCTCCTGCCGACCTAACCCACCTCCGGGACCACCTTCTCCTCGGATCCACCCTTCCAGGGGCTCCAGACCCCTCCGATCTCTCTCTCGGCGCTCGTCTCGAACTTGAAAATACCCACCCCGGCTGCCTCTTAAAAAATTTACCACCAACCCCCCCAGGAAAGTGTTTTAACCCCCGAAATTCTCGCTGCCTTGACTTGAAGGGGTACTACCCCTCTCTAAACCCAGGACTCGATTATTCCCGTAGAATCTGGATATGTCCAACCCTTGAATTTGCTACAAATTATTATTTATTGAATTAATTAATTTGAGGGGGTACAACCCCTGTCTAAACCCAGGACTCGATTATTCCCGTAGAATCTGGATATGTCCAACCCTTGAATTTGCTACAAATTATTATTTATTGAATTAATTAATTTGAGNGTAGGAAAAATTAATTTCCCGTGTATGTCTGATCTCGTGTCGCGCACCGAGAATTAAAAAAATCACTTGACTCCGATAAATTATTATTTGAACTAAAGAAATTAATTAATTTTTTTTTCCCGGGGTATCTGACTTCTCGAGGGCGAATCGCGAAGACAGGTGCGTGGGAAAATTGCGGGGGGGATGTGTTTCAGTTTTGTAAGGGAAAAGTCACGTAGAGAGGATCAATTTAAATGGAGATCAGGTGCTCCGTATTCCGGTAATGCATGCATACTCGCGAGTACATCCCCCCGCGTTACCACGAGTGACCCTGCTCTATAAAATAATTATTTTTCACGTACTTGCCGTAAAGAGACCGGAATGTTCGATTAACTTTCTTGATTAGGACCTCCGTCGACCGTGTTAACGAGCTACGTCTGCGATTGCGGTTCCGGATGCGAAAACGCGAGCAAAGTCTGCCGAGCCTCTTGGCCTCCCTAAGTAATATTAATGTCGCCGCCCGGCATTCCGCAGCGGAATCTCAAGACGCGTCGCGGCAAATAAAGACAAATGCACCCGGCACGGTGCCTAATTGCTGATACGGGGTAATTCCCCATTACCCATGGGGTCCTGCGAGTCTTGATAATCGAGGGGGTGGATGTACCTTTATACGTGCCCTCTCATAAAAAAAAAAAAAGAAAAAGAGGAAAAGCCCGGAAATTAGTGCCGCGCAATTAACCCCGCTGTCGATCACAAGAGAATGTACCGAGAGAAAGTGGAGTTAAAAATCCAGTCTAGGGGAGGAACCTCCCTTTGATCCAGCCATTAATGGCGACAGGGAACTTCCAAGGGGGAGCGTTCGAGTCCTCCCTTGGATCGCCTCGATCGACCCCGAGTTTGGAAAAGTCCAAGGGTTTCGGGAGGGAGGGAAAATGAAAAAGGAAAATTTAACCCCCGCACAAAGGACTCGGGATTTATTTCTTCCATGCTAATTGGCGAAGCCGGTCGAATCTTTGCGAATCCTTAAATCGAGGCACTCGCATGGGTGGAGGATGGAGTGGACCTCCGGGTCGACCCTCCCTCTCTTTCCTCCCCCTCGTCGAGGAAGTTGCTCGGAGAGAACTTGGCCAGGAATTAGTGTCGCGTAATTAACCCCGGGAATAAATTCCCATTAAAAACGGGCGGGCTGGGCCGGGGCAAAAATCGCGCCCGAGTAAAAATTAACCATTTAAACGTCCCGGGGGGTAACGAATGTCCCTCCGGGCGCACTCGCCCCCGGAAATTGCGAGGATCCCTCGAGCGGAATTTTCGGGGAGACTTCCGCCCTCGGAGCCTCCCAGAAATTTCCGGAGCCGAAGAAACCGCTTTACGATCGACGGTACATATATTAATATTAATTATGAAATTAACGGGGGACCTGGGAACAATATTCCCTCGCGGTTTAATTTTTTTTTTACCCCCCACACAGCGCTCCGGTAAATCCCCTCTCAAGCCGCCATTTTTGTAAATAAAAAAATACAAAAAAATATTTTATCGTTTAATAGTAGTATAATACACTACGGTACTTGAATTTGGATAAAAACGTGTTAATTGTTAAGAAAAAAATTCTTGAAAAACCGTAATTCTTGGGTGGGTCAAAGTGGGGTGTAACCCCTTAAGTGTCCGAAAGTTTGGCTCGACGAGGAAATTTCCGCCTCCGATGTACACCCTTTGTCAACTGTAAAATACACCGCCCTAAAGTGTCACCGATATCGTCGCCTTGGACAGATATTGCACCCCTCTGGGGGGTGACGCTTTCTCGGGTCATCGTCGAGCTGCGCTTAAGGACCCTTTCCTTTTCCCTTGGCTCTAAGCGCTGCTTTCTCGGGGTAATTTCTCTAAAAACCACCCTACATGTGTCTGCGAGCGATTTCCGATTTTCTGAAAACCCACCCCTTCGATGAATCTCCTTTGAGGGGTTTTCCCAATGAATTCCCGATCGGCAAGGCTCGACGTTGGGAAAACTTCGAGCCTTGGCGATCCCCTTGTTTTTCTCGCTTTCCATCTTTCACCGAATGAGGGTGCATTTCACTGACGAAGGCTTTTTATCCTTAGCACGATGCGGTAGAGAGGGAGACCACGGTAGACGCCAATAGTGACGGTTCCGGGGAGAAAGAGGAGGGTACACGGTGCTGGGGGGCCGAGAGTTGCACCGAGGAATTACAGGTACAGAACTGCCTCTCCATTAATCCGAGTACTCGTACCTGGAAACCATCCGTATACGTAATATAGATATTCCTGGATATGTCGGTGCACGTGGTTCATTTCCCATCTCTCTCGACAAACGACCCGAGAATTACCTGGTGCAACCTGGCCAAGGCCAGGGGTCCTGGGGTCGCCAGTGATAAGGACCGCACTAGGCGTGATAAGGGCGTCCTCGGATTCCGCGCTCCCTCGGGAACGCGGGAGTTCCGCTTACACAGGGCACGCGGAATTCCCGGCAGGGCGCGGATTAAAGCATTGCTGCGGTCGCGGTGGAAACGCGAATCCTGGTGCGCATAATTGACGAATACCTGCCTCGATGAATTACGTGTGGTAATTGCAGTCTGATCTCGTGTCGCGCACCGAGGACTAAAAAAATCACTTGACTCCGATAAATTATTCTTTGAACTAAAGAAAAAAATTCTTAAATTGTCCCGTTGGATTTATTTCAGTTTATTCCAGCGAAAGTATATCCCTTGAGTTGATAAAATAGTTTTTTTTTGGTTCAATGACATTTTTTTGAAGATTTACATCGTAGGAAAAATTAATTTCCCGTGTATGTCTGATCTCGTGTCGCGCACCGAGAATTAAAAAAATCACTTGACTCCGATAAATTATTATTTGAACTAAAGAAAAAAATTCTTAAATTGTCCCGGTACCGAGGAAACATTGCGTTGGATTTAATTCAGTTTATTCCAGCGAAAGTATATCCCTTGAGTTGATAAAATAGTTTTTTTTGGTTCAATGAAATTTTTTTTGAAGATTTAAATCGTAGGAAAAATTAAGAGAGTCTTCGCGGGGGGTCGGAGGTCGAAAGGGGTCCATCACCCCCGGAGGAGGTGTCCAGGTCTTACCTTCGAGGTCTGAGGTGTAGTAACGGCATCAAGGCGCACAATCGACGGGGCCCAGCTACAAATTGAATGACGCCGATACCTTATCGAGGGAACCACCTCCACCCTAGACCTTCCACCTCCCCCTTGAACCCCCTCAGCCGTTGCTCGCCTTGTACAAGGTTGGCGAAACGTGGGGCGGAATACCTACGTGACACCGAAACTGATTCGTCGCGACTCCCCTTTCCGACCTTCCACCTCCACCCCTAATCGGATTCCGTGGATCTCGGCCTTTTTCCACCCCGGGAAAGATGCCGAGGGAAATTCCAGAATTGCGCCGACCCATTTGCCCCGGATAACGATTTGCATCCCTTAACATCCCCTGTGATAAGGGCGAAGACGCATTTTCTTCCTCGTGACCTTATCAATGGCGCCTCATTTTTTATCATTCCTCCCGATTTCTCAATGACCCTTCGACTTACTCGAAGAGCCCTCGTATCGACTCCCGTCCCTCGTTCTCGCGTCTCGTTCAGATTTCCTCTAATTAAATCCACCCCAGGGTGGCCATCTTGCCGGGGTGGCTCCGTCACCGGGGGCGTTATTCGAAACCGATTTCGAGCGGATCGGGTATCCTTTCAAGCCGAGGGCGAAGGTGGCTTCGCGCCTCGACTTGAATTGGATTTTTACTAATTAAAATTTCAAACTTGACGTCCGGAGAGAGAGAGGGAGGGAGAAGGGGGAAGAAGAGGCGTCTTTAATGAGCCCGCGTCTGGTTCCTCCTTCTCCGGTTCTTCCCTCGTCATCCTCGAATGACGAATAAAATCCCTCCCCTCGAAAAAAGTCCCGAAAATTTAATTGCACCCTCATTGAACCGGAGATAATTGTTTCTTTGCTCCTAAGATTCTCTTTCTCGGGGGGAGGTAAATAGAGGATCCTCCACCCTGATTAATCGATCGCGGAAAAAAAAAAAAAAAAACGGGAAATTCGGTCGTTATCAAAGACGTCTCTTTCGGGCCAAATCGGTCGTGGCTCGTTATCTCCTCGTGGAGGTCGAGGTCGACCTCCCAGATGCCTTTAATCGCCTTTGTGCCTCCTTTTCCCGTCACATGGCGGGATGCAACGACCCCCATAGACCTCCGGCTCCCTCGTAACGACTCGAAGTAATTACCCCGGGTTTTGATAATTACTCTAATTAAATTCAACCTGGAATATGAAATCGATTCCCGGGTAATCCGTCTAGGAATGAAAAAATGACGGTGAATGGCGTCGATCCCCATGGAGGGGTGCATGTCAGGGCGCAAGGGTGCATCGTAGGGCATGGGGGTGCATGGGGTGGGCTCCCTCGTCGCCTTGCAGACCCACAACTCCATTTACAACCGTCTCGCTTTTGAAGCCCCCCTTTTCCTCCCCTCGTTTCTCTCGCTAGGGTGAAAGAACGCGGAAATCGCCCCGCGAGGTCCGCGGCTCTCTCTCCGTCGGCGTAATTGCGTCTAATTAACTCGCACACGCGTAATTCGAGGAGGGTCTCCCTCTAGATGGCGAGAATACCGAGGTGCATCCTCCCTGCAGGGGCTAACCCCTTTGAGGGAGCCAAAGAACCACCCCATGAAAGTGCACTCGCCTTATCCAAATTGCATTTAAATCGACACGGCGTTGATAAGAAATGATAAGATGCATCACTCGATTCAATTAATCCCCGAATGGACGAAATAATTCCTAGGTACAAGAAATCTTTTCTTGTCCCCTTCTCTCGATCCAAATTTCATTTCGGAGCATCCTGAGGAAATAAATTCGTAATTACTCGAATTACCATTTCCGTCATTCCAAGGAGGTAACGCAGACTCCGGTCGCCATTCCGACGGCGTTAGAGCGGGACTAACGATCCCTCCTCCTTTCTCCCATTCCCTATTTCTCCGTTCCGCCTTTTCTTCCACTCTTCCCTCTCTCTCTCCATCGCGCTGCACTTTGAGGTGCGCGTCGGTGCACTCGGTCGAAATTGGCGAGCGCGACTTCGCTCTTGGGACGGAAGGGGGTGGTGAAGGGGGTGAAGGGGGGGGCCGACGTCGCGGCGCTTTGATGGCGCCGGCATCGCCGGGTTATTCATTGCGGTGCCTTCGCACAATTGACCCCCGCGCCTATACTTACATCGCCATTAATTCTCGTTTTATAATGGGACCCGCCATTGTTTTCTAGCCTCCCCCCCCCTCCCATGGAACTCGCGATATTCACCCAACCCCCCCCAACCCCCCTCAAAACCGAACTCGCCGAGCGCGAAATTACGATTACACGCCACCCGGCACCTGAATTCCGGGATTCCGCGGTGAAATTCCGACGGGAATTCCGGGCCGGAATTCCCGCTTTCTTTTTCGAACCCCTCCTCCCCCGAAATAGGGGGGTGCATCGGGATGCACTCCGACGATGCAACCGGGCTCGGCTTAATGGAGTCGCGGGATTCATTCGAGTTAGAATGCCACTCTCGATTTATCATTACCCTCCCTGCTCGAGGGCTGTTAATTAAGGGGCCTCGATCCATTATCATTAATTGTTAGTGCAACCTCTCGTTGCAGGCGTCGCGGCCCTCGGAATCGCGGACTCGTTGTTCGGGGGTTTTGATTATGAATTTTCTCGCGGATCGCAGATGCATATGTATTGACGGGTACTTCTAATTAGACGGGGAATTTATTGTACTTGGATTTTTAAATCTTGCTTGGAGTCGGTACGAAAAATGTTGTTTGAAATGTGGGATTTCATTGTCTCGACGTTTCGATATCAAGACATATTAATTTTTACATATGAAATTAATAGATATTAATTCATACATATGAAGATGATAATTTTTTACATATGATATTAATACATATTAATTCGTACGTATGAAGATGATAATTTTTTACTGTCTGATCTCGTGTCGCGCACCGAGAATTAAAAAAATCACTTGACTCCGATAAATTATTATTTGAACTAAAGAAAAAAATTCTTAAATTGTCCCGNAATTCGTACGTATGAAGATGATAATTTTTTACATATGATATTAATACATATTAATTCGTACGTATGAAGATGATAATTTTTTACATATGATACTAATACATATTAATTCGTACGTATGAAGATGATAATTTTTTACATATGATATTAATACATATTAATTCATACATATGAGCACTTTTTACGGATGACGGATCGGGAACGCGTGAGAAAATCATCTAGGCCGTCGAAATTCCGGAATCTCCGCAAAGGCCGACATTAATTCCCGCAGGTGTCGTCGAGTCGCGGTGCAACTGCAACTGCACTCGGGGAGGGGGGGCAGGGGTGCCTTAAAAATGTCACACCTAACCGTGGTGACGCTGGTCGGTGCAGTCTGTGCAGCCGGGACTGCACCGGGGATCGCGCTAAACTGACAATGGCGCTTTTTCAGAACTGCACTCCCTGCACTCGAGGATGCAACAATCCATCCCGGTGCTCCCGTTCCACTCAAACGCCGCCTCGTCCCCCTGCCCCCTCCGCGCGCGGCACAATGCGGAATGCATTTTTGTGATTAAAATTTCGCGACGCCGACGACGAGGCCCGGGACGCAAACTCTTCTCAGGGTGCTGCGGAAGCTGCGGAAATACGACGCGTCTAGAAAATCCGGAACTCCCGAAAAAAAAAAGGGGGGGTCAGGTGGAATTGAAAAGCCACCCCTTTGTCTTCTTCCAACCCTCCTGATCGGCGGATTAATTCCGCGAGCCCCTGGCCGCGGTTCCTTAGGCCTCCTCTGGGACGCGTCGCGGATTAATTCCGCCGGCGCGGAATCAAAGAGCCCGCCTGCGGGGGTGGTGTCGAGATTGGATTCGAAATCCGCGAATCGGAAGGCTTCCTTTCCTCTGTCTCGCCCTTTCCGTCCTCTTTTGAATTTCGACGCGGTCGAGGACCGCCGATCTGAATAAAGATTCCGGATCGGATCCTCCGCCTCCGGAGGTGGCTCGAATTACTATCCGCGGTCCCTGCGGGGCCTCGGGACGGCAAATGAAGTATATGTAAATAATGAGGCAGGGAATGAATGCGTCGGGATGCACCTCTCGCCACTAATGGCGGAGCAACGACCCCCGGGTGCGGCCGAAAGTAATTCCGCACGGGCGGCCGCCACCCCGAAACCAAGGGCCGAGTCCTTTGAAAGGACTCCTCGATAATTGAGGTACATTTTCGCCGTATTCCTCCTAGAATGATACGAGGGGAAATTCCCTCTATCCTTCGTAAACGGGGGAGGGAAGAGCCCCTCTATTTCCGGCATAACTCTTCCCCGCGGAATCGCGACGGCTAGGAGTGCCGGATTCTCCCAGGATGGCAAATTGGAGCCCATCCAGTGCCTGTCCTGGGACTCGATAATGAGGATCCTTCCGGAATTCCGGAAACGAGGACTCGCGATCGACTCAAGGACGAGGAGGACCCCTTTCGAGTTCCGGATGCTCCTACCGGGGGCGGATTTTTTCCGCGGGCGGGTTTACCCTCCTGGAGGATTCCCGGTGTCCTCGCTCCTGGAGAATCGCCGATTCGGAACTCGGCGAGAGGACCACTTCGCCCGGAAGTGCCGGATCCTCGAGTTGCCCCGTAATTAATTGGGGAGGATCCGATATCCTCCCTCTCCCACCCGGGCCATCGTTAGGGCGACGATGAGGGGAACTCCGGGAATTTCGGCAAATAGAACCTCGATTGGATAAGGAAACGAGGACAGGAACGACCTTAACGGATGTACGATCCTCGCTCTAGAAGACGAAGGGTCCTGCCAAGGACCAAAATTGAACCCCTTTGCGTCTTGGATCTTGAGGTGCAGGGAAAACCGAGAAAATTGTTAACGCCTCACTTTTCCACCGTTGGTAATTTTTTATATTAAATTCAACCAAAATGGAACCCCTTTGCGTCGATTTCGACGAGGCACTTGGATTTTAAGGTGCAGGGAAACCCGAGAAAATTGTTAACGCCTCACTTTTCCACCGTTGGTAATTTTTTATATTTAATTCGATAGCCTAGAATTCCTCTTCCGGTTCTTCAAGGGAGGGAATTCCCCGGTCGAGGAGACACCCTCCGAGCTGTTTGCCTTGGTCCTGCCCCCCTGTATTTCAATTCGGAAGGCAGGAGCCTGGAGAGTTTTCCAGGGTCCTGGCTCGAGTTTTCCCTTCCAGAGGGGCCGGGTCTTTGAAGCGATACCCGCCGGGGGCGGCGGAGGCGAAATTATTACCAACCAAGTTTCTATCAATTTGTATCGGGCGCGCATCGGCGACGAGGCCAACGGCTCGGATCAAAGAGCCGACGAAACCGCCGAGGGGGGTCCAGGACCCTATTTTTCCCCCGAAGGAGACGATCCGGTCTGTTAACCGCTTGAGGTTCCGCCAGGAGCTCCGAAAGTTCCGCATTTCATGGACGACGTCCTCGCCACTCTCTACCCCATTTTTTTCCCTTTTCTTCCTCCCCTCCCTCGAGTTCGTCCTTTTTCATTGTTTCTTTTATTTCGGTCCTTTACCCGCTTCTTCCGGTTTTCCATTCGCCGGCGAGTTTCCTCCTTCCTCCGACTTAACTTCTGGAAAATCTGCATCCTCGGTTGGGGTATATAGAGGTCCTGCGAAGTTGGAGCGAAAAAGGACTCGGGATGTCCCGAATGCACGTCCGCTTCGTCCTTTTTCTCAGGAGGAAGTTGCCGAAAGGCAACCGGTGGGGAAGTTTCCCTTTTAATTATTCCCTGATTATCGCTGCCGATTAAACTTTCCTTTCCGGTCGGTGAGTCCTGGGGAAGGACACCTCGTCCTGGGGTTTCCGAGCTGCCACTCGAGACCCTCTTCGAGATTCGGCGTTTCCGAGGACCTACGACCCTCCATCCCCATAATTCCGAACTTCCCCATAACCCCGAACCATTCTCGAGGGTCACTGCATAAACCATCGACGCGAAATTCCTCCACTTTATGAAAATCCCATGAAACCGAGGTTTAATTACCCCACCGGTTGGCATCAATTACTATTTTATCGCAATCGTTATCTCGTTATTATCCATGAAACGCGACATTTATAATAATAATCCAGAGTCGCCGTGACTCCTTTCGGAGGGGGAATTAATTCGATTCGCGGTGATCGGAATCCCATAATTAATAGTCGCGGATTATCGAGTCCCGGAGGTACCCCCCGCTCCGGATTCCGCGATATTTCCGCGTGTCCTAGCCGCGCTATCGTAATGAAAATCTCACTTTTTAGGGCACCCCCTGATTGCTCCAGGATTCCGCTCAGGTGATTTCCTTACCCCATTTTTAAGGGGTGCCAACCTCGACTGTTTCATCCTCCCTCCATTTCCCACCCTCGTTGAATCATTTCGCGACCATTACTCCCCGGCTAATGGGCCACCCCCGAGAGGAGTCGATTTTTCTCCGCTGTTCTTCAATTAAGTGGCGAAGATTACTTTTCCAGACCTGGCCGAGCAGTGAAGCGGAAGTTCCTCCCATTCTGGAGGACTTTTCTTTCACGGGGATTTTTCATTATTTTCTTATTGATCAATCATTTATTTCAGATATTTGCGTATTGGTTTTCTTTTCTTCGATTAGGGAGGATTTATCGACAGGACTAGGGGAGTCCTTTAGGGGTGAGGGAAAAAAATTGAAATTTGATTTTTCTGCGAGCAATTAATTAGTAATAAATTCTGGTATATAATTCACCGATGAGCATTTAGTTAATAATTGTTGTGCTAGATTTATATAAAACTGACATCGGCAACATTTTTCGGAAAAGTATAGGAGGAAAAAATTTCTATTCTTGCGCAATAAAATAGCAATGAATTAGGAATAAATTTTGCAAGAAATTATATTGAATTCTGGTTAAGTGGCAATTCCAGGTTTATATACATGCATTCGAGGTCGCCATCTTGGGGATCTTGGTTTTTCTTTTCTCCCGTTGTTCTTTCCGTCTCTTCCTCGTTCCTGCATATGTAACGCGGTCTGGTAGAACCTTCCGCAGCATTTGGCTGGAAATTCCGGAAAAGTCGAGTCCTCTCCTGCGAGTTTCATGTATCCTACGGGAACACGGTGTGCAATGTCTGGGAACAAAATGGCGGATTCTAGGAGGATCCCCTCGTAATAAATAAAAACCGGTGCTCCGGATTTGAATTCCTCCTTGGACGCGTTACTCCTTTACGGGGGAATTTCCCGGCCGGGGTGCGGAATGAACCCGCGGAACGGCCGCACCGGAGGATCGATTCGATGGGCACCTGTTGAGAACTCTCGCATTTCCTTTCCTTCTCTCGTCGTCCACTTTGCCTGCCGAGGATATATATCCCCTCTGTACACAGGATCCCTACGAGGGCCGAATCAGGGTGGACAAACACGCGGACAAAAGTTTATTCCGCAAAGGCAACGCTCCCGGAGCGGAACCTCCGCCCTCGGATCCCCGCTCGAACTCTATCGGGTCATTTTTCCCGCACCTGCTAGGCGTCGGATGGATTTAAGGGAGTAAAAGGGAAAGGGTTTAGTTAACTCGTAAGAGGCGGCGAGAAAACAATATGTCCGCGACGTGTGTGGCCACGTGGGGGATTTTCGTCCTTTTGTCGGGACGAGAGAGAGAGACCGGTCTCGCCTCCTAATTTTGACGCAGCCTGAGAAGCCTCATTACCGTAAATACCTTTTATCGCGTATAAGCGTCAGGAGCTAATTTCCAGTAATTAATAAATATAAACATAAATCTGCGAATCCGCCGAGACCGGCGATCCAGATTTACGTTCTGCCTTCTAACTAGTCTAATTCTACGGTAGAATATCCTAATTTAATATTAATATTGAGAAATCGGTATTAAAAAGGCCCGAAAACTCTCCACGGTATCGAAATATTCACCCCGGGGTACTTCGGATGACGCGTTGCCATGGTTATCGTTCCGATGGAGCCGACCAATCAGGTGGCAGAGCGCGAGTCGCCGAGTCGGCTTCCCGCGCTCTGATTGGTCGGTTCGCGGGCTCGGCTCAGCGGCGAGTATATAAGGCCGCGAGCGGCGAGCGGGAGCTGTTCAGTGTCGCCCGGACCGCCGAGGGGACTGGTCAGCCACCTCACTGGACCGGACCCAAACGAACCGGGGACAAAGAGGTAAGGTTAGGTTACCCTTCGGTTGCGATACAAGGCACCGAACGAGGTATTCGTAAGTACTGTCCTATTTTGTTTTTCGACATTTTAGAGGTTAGTAACCAGTCGATTCGGGCGTCGGCTCTTCTTTGTCTCCGAGACCTCGGCTCGGTTTGACGTTAATTCGCTCGCGAGTACATTTCTATGGTAATATCCGGGTTCGCATTATTCAGCGCGACTCGACGCACGACCCACGTTCTGACGTCCCGGCGTGCCTGTGTTCCAGGAGGGCGAGAGGGGGTACTTGGAGGGACTCGCTTCAAGGTATGCAGACCTCTTCAGAACGCATTACGGCGATGTCCTGGAGCCGCTCGAGGAGTTGCGGCGCCGCGAAACAAATGCCTCCCCCAGAATGGCCAACACTCAGCTCACCACCAGTCATTCGCAACCCATTTACGTGCCCGGGAAATACTCGGTGAGCAGCGTCTTTCTTCTCTCCCCCCGACGCAATTGCGATTTCCTACCCGACCATGTAACTACAGGATTTTTCATTCATACTCCCTTGAAAGGAAATTCCGGAAAATTGTACACTCCTCAAATGGAGGCACAGCCAACGCTCAGAAATTTAAATACCCCTTCCAAGAGTCGTAACGTGAATTATTTCAATTGCGCTCCATAATCACTTTTTTATTTATTTACTTCGCACGGATTTCTCGTAGAGTAATTCGGTGATTCTCTGTTTTTTTTTTGTTTTTTTCCAACAGCCGTCGAGTTGCCTCAGCGACAAAGAGGAGGACGAGATCTACGGATTCGGGTACGGCGTCTTCGGTCGGCAGATGCTGCAGCAGAGACAACAGAAACTCGCCCTGGCCACTCAGAATGCAACGACGCCGGCGCCGGGTGTGCACCAGCAGCCCAACTACCAGAGGTGAGTTCCCCCGTAAACCCCCAAATTTTCCGGGATTTATTGCGGAAAATCCCCTCCGCCTGGAGGAAATCCTCCCACTTCGAAATAACGCTCCAACTGATTCTTACCCCATAATTAACTTAATAATTAACGGGCACCATTCCTTCTCTTTTTAATCACTCGAGTGACTTTTCGCCACCGAGGGGCGATATCGAAATAAATTATAAAAAAATGAAACGGGGGCACTTCCGGGGTCGTTTTTCAAAAATCATTTTACGTGGGTTCTTTTGTATTTATTCCACGGATTTATTTATTTATTTTTTTATTATGTTGCGCGTCGGTATTAAGAACGCCGCGGTTGATCTTCCCTTAAGGCGGTTTTTTTTGCGTGGGTTCTTTTGTATTTATTCCACGGATTTTTTTTATTTATTTATTTATTCTTAAGAACGCCGCGGTTGATCTTCCCTTAAGGCGCGTCCCGGGCCCGAAATACCATCCGCGTGCCGGCTGTTTGTTATTTAATGGCTAATTAACTCGGCGTTGCTCGTTAGACGCAGCCGCCCAAGGTGCCGCCGTCGCGGAATGCGAAACGTTATTAAATGGCATTATCGCCAGCCGGGCATTAACGGCCGCGGTGCACGCACGAACGGCGCGGGACGCCGCGACGTCGATATGTACAGCGTCTGGTTGGGCCTTGAACCCTTGCCAAGTCTGAATAGTCTGAAAAGTCTGAAAAGTCTGATCTCAGGGTGACTATCTGGAAAGGTAGGATATACAGCACGAGGGGAATAGAAATTTAATACCCTGAAGAAGGGAAATTGTTTTTAATATATTTGTCAAGGGACCTGGGTAACCAGGGTTTCCCTAGGGAGGATCAAGTCGCGGTTAATTATCGGGGGTTATAGTTTAATCATTTTGCTTTTTCGATGTACCTAGGTGCGATAAGGTAATGTCGCGGTAATCCCGGTTAATTATCGGGGGGTATAGTTTAATCGTTTTGCTTTTTCGATGTACCTAGGAGGAAACCAGTTTTATTTTATAAGCGATTTACTCGCGGCGGAGACGCGACGAGTGGATATTCCGCTTAAAACGCGGTGGAATCCGCTTATCACCGGGTGTAGAAATCCGCGAGGGCTTAATCGGATTTCCGTTATGACGAGAAATAGTTTAAAGAGGGAGAGGAGGATGGCACTTCGTCGGATCGAATTTCTCCCGTCACTTGGACTTATTATTTTTCGTGGCTTTCGATCGGGGGGTGGGGGGTTTAATAAACGCGCTAATTAGATGCTCCACAGGTAGCCGGTAAAAAGCGACGATAATCCCGGATTAAAAGGGTGGCGGGGATAATGCAGGATCGCGATCCTTGCCTGGGGAAAAAAAAAAAAAAAGATTTTCGTCAAACGGGAGAAATATTGCGATAATCACATTAAGCTTGACTTGAATTATTTTTTTCATTGAATTAATAAGGACATATTTCCTCGGTTAGGTTAATGGAGGTTTTGTTTTGTTTTTTTTTTAATTTTCTTTTTGTCGCTGATCGGGAACCGATGAAATTACGCCGGGAATTTGGAGCGTCGATTAATCCGACGCCGGATGGCCTTTCGGCCCTGGCAATCTTAATTCAATTAATTAGCCCCCTGTAAACCGGCGAGGGTTAATGACGCATGCGCGCACTAATAACCCGCGTCACAATATTCCGGTAGGCGCGAATTGATCGCCTCGTAAATTAATAAGCTGGTAATGATCTCTCGTCGTAAAGTAAAACCGTAAACTAGGTACCCCGCGCGGTAACGTTATCAGCGGCCGATTATTACTATCTGATAGGAAGGGAGATTCATTTTGACCTCGCCTCGGGATTAACCTCTTTAGATGGAGAGGAGAGGAAAAAAAAATGGTAAATTCCTGTGAAACGACATAAATTTTCTGTACTAGGGAAAATAATTGTTTCTTGCGATTAAATGTGTGTGTGTTTTTATTTATTTATTTATTTATTTGAGGGAGGCTGGAAAAAAATAGAAGCACGCGAGAAGGATAACGAGGCCTGCACTGGATACGGGAAAAATTGGGGAAAAATGTAGGAAAATCGGGAAAAATCGCAATCACGGCGGGAGACGTCAAAGAGCGGTTTCGCGTGTCGCGGATGCACTTCGCGGGACAATCCGGGACCGATGCGGAACGCATCCGGAAGAGACGACGCCGTCCAGTAGGTGGAGGGAGAATCGCAATTCGGTTTGTCCATTGAGATGTTGGCTTTTCGTCAAAGGATCCTATTAGTATGCGGTTAGTATTACGGTTCGTCTCTCCGCGTGTGTATGTACCTCGAGGGTCACCGTCGGCGATTCTATTCCGCAAGACCGGCCAAAGCGGACTCCTTGCGGAAGCCGCACTCCTCCTCTCCTCTAACCTCCCTGCGTAACGCAATTTTTTAACATATTAAATGTTGACTTTTATTTGTTTTTAATTATCATATCTGGATTTAATACGATTCCCATAGTCAGTAGAAGGGGTTGATATCTCATTCGGGGGCGAAGTTTATTTATATATAATCCGTCTTTGTTTATTTCCAATATTTCTCATTTTCCATCCAGTATCTCCAACGGAATTTTTTTACCTATTAAATGTTGACTTTTCTTTGTTTTTAATTATCATATCTGGATTTAATACGATTCCCATAGTCAGTCGTTAAAGGGGTTGATATCTCATTCGGGGGCGAAGTTTATTATATATAATCCGTCTTTGTTTATTTCCGATATTTCTCATTTTCCATCCAGTATCTCCAACGCAATTTTTTAATCTATTGGAACTTATGGCCAGGAGATAAATAAATCTCAATCGCGAGGTCCTTCTCCCACCCCCTCCGGTGGAGGGGTGGAGGGTGTCCTCGGCTCTCGATGCACCTTGCACACGGGAGCGACTGGACGCGACAACTCGCGTAAATCATTCCGCCTGCTTTATGGACCGCCCTTTCTCTCCCTTTTCTCTATTTCTATTTTTTTTATTCCCCCTATTTTTTCTTTCCCTCCAACCCCCTTGAAGAGCGCACCCCGAAGTGCACTTGGGAACTGCATTCGCGCGACCGGGGGCGCTCTGCACCTGGGGGATGGCATAAAAAATATCAAGTCGGGGATTGTCCCCGTTGCCGACGTTTAAAATCATCCCTAGTACTCGGTGCGACACCTTTTGTCGGGGAGGAAAAAACATGGGAGCCTAGGGGATGTTCCTAGGAATTTTATCATCCACCCCTTGGGAAGAGACATGTCTCCTCGGCTTGATAATAAAAATCCCGTATTTATTAAAATAGACGATCCATTTATTGATCACGATTGCTCATACGTTGGGGTAGGTTCTAATCCGTGGACAAGGGTGGGGGAGAATTTTTAGGGTGGGATTTTACGAGTTTCGCGGAATATCCGCATGCGGCGCGAAGGAGGGAAATGGAGCACGCGTATGGCCCGGAATAAAGGCGTGTACAGCGGGGGGGTGTATTTACGTGTACCGGGGGGAGGTGAAATAGGAGGAAGGGGTTGAAACGGCTCCCTCCACCGTTCTGGAGCCGCGCTTTAATTGTTAGCATATTTTAACCGTAATTTTCTCTGTTCCAGTTGTCTGAGCCCGAGATCTGCCTTCTTCTACGAGTTCCCGCCCAACGGTGAGTAATTTACCCCCCGCGAATTTCCCGGCTATATATNAAAAAAAAAATAGTACCCCGCGAAAAGAATATTTAGGATCCTTTGGAAGGACGAGGTGCCCTCCAGAATTAGTCCGCGAGGTGCTTCGGGGGTGGCAAGGGGCGACACTTTTTTTTTTCTTTTTTGATACGAGGGGGGTTCCGAATTTCCTTTACACGGCGCAGGTCCGGCAGGATGGCTGGCGCAATTATTCAATGCAGGCCGGCTGTACTGCATAATGCACGCCATTCCTCTTGGCAAAAGGACGAAGACGCGATCCTCCGGGGTGCGGCCGTACGTCGCGGCGCAATGAAATATAAATGACTCGACAATGGAGAGTACGCGGTCCGTACCTATGTCCGGAGTCTCTCTCCCTCCACCCTCCGCGGGGGATTTATTATCTCCCCCTTGTTGCCTCCCCTGGAGAATTTCCCGCACCCTGGTCGAACCAGGAAACTAGACGCGACGTCACCAGGAATGGGGAGCCACTTTGAATTTTCCTAACAATTTTATTGACCTACGATATGAATTTTTAATATGAACAATGACACCCCCGGTGACGTTAATCGCGATTTGTTTGTCATTTCTCGGGCCGGTCGTAAAATCCCGGGTATATATTGAGTGAGGAGGGAAATCGAGCCGAAAGCGGAGGGCTGGGGGGAGGAATAGGAAAGGGGGTAGAGATGGCGGAATTCCTCGAGATATCGAAAAACAATTTGGATCTCATATCGGAAGGGCGTGGAAAACTCTCCCGGGCCGGGGGTCAGGATATTTCATTTCTATCGGCCGCCTTTCTCGGTCTCTGTCTCTCCCACCCCCTCCTCCACCCTCGAGATCATGAATACATAATTGAGATCGTATTGTTCCCTCCCGAAGAGTCGCTGGGAAACTTTCCTCCACCCTGGCCCCTCCTCATTCCCCTCGCAGAAGGATTCTCCGGGCGTACGCTTTCCTCTGGGATTTCTATTATTTTTTATACTTATCTTTTATCAACAAACTCCCTTGATAAAAATCGCCGGAGAGGTGGATGTCTCTCCTTTCGCTCCCCCTAAGAATTTCCTTCTATTCCGGTGCTTCGTTAATTTATTTAAGAAATTGCCTCGACATTTTGGGGAGGCTCTCACCGTTTCATCCCCAATTTCGAACTTTCTACCCTCGATTATCCTCCCCGAAATTCCCATTAAAGTCCCTTTAAAGGGTCAAATTGCCTCGGAAAGTTTCGCCGGGTAAAGGGTTATATACCCCCGGCATTGTTCTTAGCGAACCGTTTATCGGATTTCCCTCCCCCGGGGGTGGATGGGTCGATCTTTAATCTCGAATCGATTAGTCGATCATCCATGGCCGTAAATTTGATTCGGCATCCGGAAGTCCCCTGCACACGTCCTTGCATTTCTCCTCCCTCTTTTTCATCCCCATGGAGCATGTTATTTGGAGACGCGCCCTTCCTGGGGGGTCCCTTAACCTCCCCGTTAAGAATTCAGCGGAAACCCCCGGCGGTAAATCAGCCCCCATTGAGGTAGGTCACTTACACCCCCCATGGCCGAAATCCCCGTGAAGCGACCCCGTTAAAACAGAAATTGCCTCGTTAAACTTTCCGCCCTGGGCCCGCGGGCATTCCGCGGCGGACCCGCGATCGATCCCTCTCCCTCTGGCATTGTTTCGCCAGGGGATGCACTCCGGGATATGCACTCGGGTGCATCGGGGGGGACCTCCGAATCGCGGCGCTAATCGGTCGAGGGGGGGTTCCCGAAACGCCCCCGTTTAACGATAATCCCGTTTGTAAGGGGTGGCGGTGCCGTTGTACCACTTAAGGGAAGCGGCGAGGGGTGCAGCGAGGTGCATCCCTAGGTGCATCCCTAGGTGCATCCCTAGGTGCAGACCTGGGTGCATCTAGGAGGGAACGGGACTCTTCGAGTTTGAACTGCCGCCCGCGACCTACGGAAATTGTATCTTATGCCCTATTCCGCATTGACGATTGCGTTTCCGCATCCGGTGCATCCTATGCACCCGCCACTTTGTCCTCGTCATGGGGAATTTCCCTCGTGGGGGTGTTCCAACGTCTCCTGGGGGTTGATATCCCGGTGAAGCCGGGACTCTTAGGGGTGGACGCGTCTAAACCGCGCCGATTCCGCGGCGGAATCGATCCGGGATACGCGATGTACGATCGCCTGGAAAGTGGGGTAATTGTTTCGCGTCTCCGACACTCCTGGGGAAGGAGTCCTCGAGGACGATCCGGCAGGTCCTTACGCCCTCGTCCTTCCTGTCTATGGCCGGCGATTCCGCCGGAACGGACGGATGGAAAACGCGAGCCGGCCTCGTTTTTCTTTTTTTCTTTTTCTTTTTTTTTTATCGGGCTTTCATTGCATCTCGTTGCACCCCCGCCGTACGACCCCACTCCGGGGACTGTAAAAGGACCTTCCGCTCCTTTTTACGAGGACCTCCTCCTCCTGCCACTTCTATCCTCCTTCATTACCGGTTATTTGTTCGACGACTCTTTTTCACACTTTCCCCCCTTTTTTATTAATTTTCTCCTCCCTTAGTACAATCCAGTTTCCTGTCTAATTAGGAATAAATGGGGTATGTCGATTATTATTCGTGTTATCACTTGGGGGGTGGTTTTTTTTTTTTTAAATAAAATACAGGAAATCGACACAATTTTGGGGGATGGTTTCGATATTAGTTTCGCGATATCCTCGTCGATCGGGGGCGAGACGCGTTTCCGTCGCGGGGGGATTTATAGGCCCGATCCCCGACGTGTCCGCCGCGGCCGATCCGCGTCGATTTTAAGCGACCGCTCGTTAAACCGAAAGATTTAGCGGATTGATTAGACCTCCGGATGGAGCGATTCCGGCGGCGGGACGCGTTTCATCCCGAAATTTACGGTATATCTAATCGAGGGGCGAAACGTCGCCTCGTAAACGTCAACTTCTAACGACGAGCATACGTTATACCGGGCCGCAACGCGGAATCGCCTCGTCAAAAACGCAATAGTCCCCCCGCGGACGGTCTTCGAGCGGATTTTCGATCGAGCCCCGAAAGAGCTTCCCTTCCGCAATGAAGCGTCCCATCCGAGGATTTCCGCACCTGTCCGTGCACCTGCGGAGGATCCTGGATTTCTTTTTATTTAAACAAACATTTTTTTTAATAGTATTTTCCAATTTTTTTTTTTTTTACGAGCATCGCAAGACGAGTTTTCCGCCTCTCGGGATCGACGCCGGACGTCGACGGGCGTTATTTCCGCGACGCGTGTTTTTCGCCCGATCTGGCGTTATCATTGCTGCACTTTTATCACGGATAATGCATCCCAACCGGAGATGGCTGTCCGAGATTGCAATGAGCGCCGACGCGTCCGGAACGGAGATGGCACCTAGCGTTAACGCGAGTGATATCGATGCCCATTAGATAATCCTGATTTATGGGGGTCGGGATTTCCATGGTGGTTTTTATTTTTTTTTTTTTTTTAACCACCACCCTCTTCCTGATATCGTTTGCGCGGTTGATAAGCGGTCTCGAATTAACTCGCGAAATGGGACATGGTGCACTAAGAGGTGCCTTAATCGCATTATCAACTGAGTGCGAGTGATATCGATGCCCATTAGATAATCCTGATTTATGGGGGTCGGGATTTCCATGGTGGTTTTTATTTTTATTTTTTTTTTTAACCGCCACCCTCTTCCTGATATCGCTTGCGCGGTTGATAAGCGGCCTCGAATTAACTCGCGAAATGGGACATGGTGCACTAAGAGGTGCGTTAATCGCATTATCAAATGAGTGCGAGTGATATCGATGCCATTAGATAATCCTGATTTATGGGGGTCGAGATTTCCATGGGGGTTTTATTTTTATTTTTTTTTTTTAACCACCACCTTCTTCCTGATATCGCTTTTGTGTTAGATGAGCGACCTCGAATTAATTCGCGAAATGGACATGGAGCACTAAGAGGTGCTTTAATCGCGTAATCGGGATTAAATCGTGAAATGTGTCGGTATCGATCTTTGGGATTAATTGATCGATCATCGATCTGAATTACTTAACCCGTAACGAAGGGTTTACGGGCCATTAACTCTCGGGATCGACATGTCGGAAGTTCCTCGTGGATTAATATATGTATATATATGTATATATACCCGACTTTACTCCGTATCCATATCGTTAATTTTATTGGCCTTTAAATGTTAATAATGACCACCCGCGAGTCGCGACTACTTAATGGCCATTAAAATCTAACGACCGCCAGGAAAGTAGATTATTGTCCGTCGATTCCCGACACGAGTAATAATCCGACATTAATAAATTTACTCAAAGTCGGTAATTGACAAAGCCTTGAAAAAAAAAAAAAGTTACTCGCGAGTATACTCTCTTTTCGGGAAATTTTTCCCATTTTTGTCGGATAATTCCCAGTAAAAAATTAATCCCGAGTAATGGCGTAATTACTTTCGGTCGCGACGGTATATTATCCTTGTACAGGGTACTTACAGGAGTACCCGGGATAAAAAAATTCGGAGTTGCGGGGGAAATTACCCGCGGAGAGGGGGGAAAAAAACCGCATTACGCGATAGGCGCCGGAAATGAGTAACGCACGTTAGTCCGCGAATTCGTTTGATAATGGCATTATCGGCGCGTTAAATGGATCGAATTTTGAGCGCGTAATCGATAGTCGGCTTTTACGGCGAGCCTCTCATTAAAGCGACAAGTAACGAGCGGAAATTTTCCCCTTTGTTGCGGAAAGTTTTACACATTAGCCCGGTAATGCGCTGAAAGCAACCATTTACGGTATTCCCGCAGCAGGTCCTCGAAAGTCCCGTCGATATATATATATTTTTTTTTAATCGATAACCTTATCAATCGTCGCATTGTTTAATCGTACTATTTTTTCAAAAACCAATGAAAAATGAAATCAGTGGCTTCATTGTTTTTTTTTCCTCTCCCGACGTCGTCGCATTATTTAGCGATTATTTAGCGATTCTCATTAAGGGGCACT